AACCTTGTTTATAAGTCATTTGCTAGTTGGAGTGTTTGTTTTTTGGTTTTTGTTTTTTTTTTCCTGCTTGTCACTTGTATTTCACCTAGGTAACATAGTTTTACAATAACAGGATCAGCTGAATCAATTCCAGTATGAGCTTTTATTTTGAACTTTGTTTTGAGGCTTTGAAAATAGATTTGTTTCCCCCTTCCCTTTTATAAATAATGTAAACATTTCTAGAGGCTGTATGTATTAGCCAAGAATATGAAGCATGAATTACAGATTATTTTAGATTAATCCATCTGTACTATATAGTTTCCTCATGTAATCCATTCTATTTCTACTTTCTATGGGCTTGCATAAGTTTTAGGTTTGGCATTTAAAACAAAGTTGTACTTGGGTATTAGATTTTTTAACTTGGAGCTTTGGTATCTATCAAAGATTTGGAGTGCTTTAGATAAAGCAAATTCTAATTCCAGTACTTATACACTGTAGAAGTTAAGCATTTGCATCCTCGTAGATTACCAGTAGAGTCTTTGTATTTTTTGTCAAAACTTTTTAAACTGTGAAATAAATGAAAAAGAAGCATGTTTAAAATTGTAGGCATGTTACAAATTTTAAAGCCATTTATATTTTTTATCTCTGTAGATTTCCACCAAGAAAAATGGATCTATGTTCACAAAGGAAGTACTAAGGAGGTAAGCTTCCATTCATTTACTAAACAGTTACACTTAGCCTTATACTTCCTTGGTAGGGTGGGGGAAATTGGGCAACAATATTACTTCAAATCGTAACTATCTTCTTGGGTGTGGGTGGTGGTGGCTAGCAGCTACCAACCAGCCAACCATCAGAGCCTGGGGCTACAGAGAAAGAGAGATGAAGTGTCACTAGTTGGATTCCCCAATCACTCAGTGAGATTATGATTGTAAAAGTGCTTTATAAAGATTAATATGCCCATCTCAATCATATTATTATAAAGTCCTGGATTTTGCCTAAGAACAGTACCTTCCTCTTATTCTAGGATCTCTTCAACTTGGTTAAGTTTTAGCCCAGGCAGGGTCAATCACTAAATATAGCAGAAGTTTTCAGTGCCTGCTTAATGCAAGACGCTGGGACAGATGTCGGAGGGGACATTATAATGACTACAATTGTATGGCACTTTATAAAACCNGGGAGCGCCACCACACTCCCAAGCGGCGCACTGTAGCAGTGCGCCACTGGGCCGGCCCTAAGGCTGTTTTTAAAAAAAAAAAAAAGCAGCAGCTTGGTGTGGATGCTTCTGCAAAATGAAGGCATCATGTATTACAGTGATAATAGTAATCACCCCTCCCCGCTTATCATTTTGCTTAAAGTAATATTGTAGTACCCAGCGTTGCTCTTAAAGAGTATTGCATTGTGTATCAAATTACAATATCAGGCACTGTTAGGAAATTCAAAAGAAGTAGAAATCCCCATCCCTGCCTTCCACACAGATGTGACAATATTTCCTCCTGGAAGAGAGAAACCTATATAGACTTCTTTTGAGTGGTTATTTTATTGTTGTATTTTGTTTGAGAAGCATGTGTGTTTGTGTGTTTTATAACCCATAAGTTATTTATAGAAACAGCTCACATTAAAATATAGCTGTTACATCTCACCCTCTCTTGTCTTCTGTTATTGGTAGTTACTGCAACAAGGAGGTATACAATAAGGAGAATCTTTTCAACAGCCTGAACTATGATGTTGCAGCCAAGAAGAGAAAAAAGGACATGCTGAACAGCAAAACCAAAACTCATTGTAAGCCATTGGTTTTGAATTTAAGAAGAAAGCTGTTTGGAGATAGTTATAGTTGGGTCATGGGGGGATGGGGAGGCGGGGGTCACACTTCCCGTGTTATACATCTGCCTTAATGTTTACTGTGTCACTGGCAAAGGTTACTGATCTTTGCATGCAGAAACCTGGCTGTGAATTTTACAAGCAAGATTAACATGTTCTTTATAACCTTGTTTATAAGTCATTTGCTAGTTGGAGTGTTTGTTTTTTGGTTTTTGTTTTTTTTT